ATTGCTTATCATAATAGGTACATATTAAATGCATTAAGCTGCGTATCATATAGAAAGCATCTATATGATGTATGTAAATGACAGAAACCTTGGCCAAAACGGAATTACGTGAGTTAAGCCAAATGGTTGATTTAACCCCGACATTAGATTTTGGCAAGAATTCTGTATAATTAATATTGACAAAATTTCAAACATTGCAGAGATTAGGGATACATATATTACAAAAACTGTATGGTACTAACTGTCCTCTACGGTTGGTACTGCGTTTATTTGGTTGGAGTAAAGAATATATTTGCTTTATTGATAAATATATAGTAGTTCCTAAGTGAAAACCGGGAAACCGAAAACATGCCAGACATCGATGGAAAGAAGCATGCTAAATATCAGGAAGTCCGATAGAATTAATAATATAATCTTAAGAAACCGCACGAAAATTGAAGACGTCACAACGAGGATATGAAGAGTAAAATGGAAATGGACTGGTCATATAATAAGAGATATATAAAAGTAGAACAAAACGATCATATATTGGTACCCAAGAAATAAGAGAAGAAAACGAAAGAGACAGTTTCGAAGGTGGGACGAAATGAGAATGAAAACCGTAACTGGCATAATATGGACAAGGAAAGTTCAGAACAGAGCATAGTGGAAAGAAATGGAGGAGGCTTTTGGCGAAAGTTGGGCAAACAGATGGTTGTCACTAGTTTAAGATTAAAATTATGTCTGAATAAAGGCTTATATTATTAGTTCCTAAGTATTAGTATGGTCAACCAAAAAACCCACTATTCATCTCTATTAAAAGTAACATTGAAATCGAATGCCTGTTGAATAATTAATTGTTTTGCTGTCACTTAAAACATGTTACAGTTTACGCACTGAAGCTAATTTAAACATTCTGCAGACGCATAGATTCAGATATCAAATTTACTATTAATGCAGTGATCTTCTTGTAAAGATAAAAATAATTTTTAAGCTAGGCTCAATTAAAAACAAGCTTAAGACAGATGCCCTAAGTGGTGCGTGGAATGCGCAGTGGCACACATTCGGTTCAAGTCTCGATTGAACCGCACTGAGTCGCGCCATTACTGCGTTTGATAAACGATATGATTTATTGGAGCTTGCTATTTGTTGAAGTTGCAGGTATTATGGTATTATTGGTGCTTTAGATATTAGAATTTCATATTGGAATTGGGTTAGTTTTAGAGTATTTACATGATTACACAAACGGAAGATGCGAGAATTATAACATTGAAAACCCTAGATACTATAATATGATTAAGTAGTGGCCTGTTCCGGCTTCACTGGACAATTTTAGCCTCTGTATCTTAGGGACCGAGTAGAGTTGGCCTTGTATCTATCTTCAACGTGCGACTCTCATCCGTGCGTATCTCGAGTCTCTGTATATTTGTCAATAATTTTACAGAATTCTTGCCAAAATCTAATAGTCGGGATTAAATCAACAATCTGGCTTTACTCTCGTAATTCCATTTTGGCCAAGGTTTCTGTCATTTTAATACATATTTAGCTTTCCATTTGATACGAGGCTTAATGCATTTAATATGTATTATGATAAGCGATATATTAATAATAAGATTGCGGAAATACCAAATCTTTAAAAGTTTACGGAACAAGTAATTGTACATAATATACATTTTAGAAGCAATGTTGATTATGTATTAAAACACTAACAAAGTTTTAATAATTATTGTGTTGTTATTAAAACTTAATTTTATTTCGCGTCGGGATGAGGACAGGCCTCGTGTGTTTTTAGTAATATAAATATATGAAGTATGAGCTGATGATGAAACAGATACAGAAATCTGAGGCCCAGACCTAAAAAGGTTGTAGCAACATTGGTATTGTTTTTTTAAGAGTATGAGTTAAATTACTCATTTTTATTTTAAAACAACAAAATTAGTTCAAAATGCAAGTAATATTTTGAACATTTGATAATTTAAAGCATTAAAATCATAATAAAAATATAATTATGTTGTTAAAACAACAATGGAAATAACTATTTTACATCTGTTAATACATCATCTTACAAATCAATTAGGTAATAATCTATTTTCGCCTAGTTCTTATCAAAGCCATCGAGAATATTTAAATAAATTAGTCATATGATTCTTTATTGGCTCAGATGTAGAAGATTTTTGCCAATGTCTTTATCAGAGAAAATTGCAAATAGATTAGTCACATTTAGATGAAAAAAATAGATGGATAGAGAGAGATATTGCTTAGCTCTTCATATCAATATAGCACAACACTGTTCCTGGTCTCACATATGTGACAATATTATTTTATATGCAAGTACGCGATCAGATTTGTCTAAAACATTCTATTTTCCTCGCTTTCGTCACCGTAGGTGAAAGCGTCAATTCCGCACATAGAAAAATCTATCGATTCACAGCCGAGCTACGAAGACACGACTTCGAAAACGGCAAAGGTTTCATAACTGTAATATAACACTATTTTATTCACGTAGGAATTTTAATATATATACCACAAACATTTGTTATACGTAATTAAATTCAATATGGAATAATGCTATGAAATAAATATGCTGAAGATTCTTTGAATTAAGCAAAAAAAGAGCGTACCAATTCTTAAAAGGCAACGCACTTGCGAGCCCTCTGGCAATGTGATTGTCTATATTACATAACATCAGATGAGCCTCCTGCCAGTTTGCACTGTTACATAAGAAAAATACACAATTCTAACCTAATTAAAAAATCACGAATGTTTACAAGTCGAATACCTTTTTTTTTCTCAATGGGCTCTGTACATCTTCCCGTGATTACTATAACAACGTAATTGGACGCCGGCGTTTCGTTTTAAATGAAGCATTCCATTACTAACTCTAAACATATATAATTATTGTTGCCAGCGTTAAAGGTACACTGACACAGGGACCAAACTTTTTAAATTAGTTTTAATTTTCTTTTTATTAATTTTTGATTATTTTTATTATTACTATTTATGTTAAGAAAATTGTAAATACTGTATATTTGATTGTTATAATTACAGTGTAAACTCTTTATAACCAATTTCAAAACACCGAGCATTTATTTTCGTTATAGAGAGTTTTCGTTATACGGGGGAAGATAAAAATAATAACCAATTACAATAACTTATATATATATATATATAAGTTATTGTAATATATATATATATATATATATAATAGATAGATGACGATGGTGCGTTTAGTAACTGAGACCAAAATTTCCTACAGGCAATGTAATTGTAACTGTATATTTGATTGTTATAATTACTATTAAACATTATTATTACTAACATCAAGAGGTTTCAAGGTTTGAAAGCGCGTATGTTCCAGGTTAGTTTGCAATAACGCATCAATTGATATACATACAGTATAAATGGGGGTACTCTAGATGCGGTATGCAAATAGTCAGCAATATTCAGGAATGCGGACAGATCAGCTTATCTAGTATTCAAAGTGCATATGTATGCAAGTTGCATGGAGATCGTCTTGCCTTAAATTATTGTTTACTGACGATACTAGTACAGTAATAGTTTTATTAAATGTAATTTTACTCGATCACTTTTGAAAATTGGTCGTGAATTTTATATTTTACGTGATTTAATTAAAAATTACATATTGTGATGCGAGCGTGACTGTATGTGAATCTAAACTATTAGTATTGGTTACAGTCGACTCTCCATCTACTTAGCTATGAACTGAATTATATATCTAATCTTCATTTAAATTAAAAACACCCAGATAATTGAAGGCTTTCACACGTATATATGTGTGAACTTATAGTATATTCATGAACTTCATAATGTTCATGAACTTGTAAGATTGGCTTTTAAGTTTTTAGTCTGTTATTAATATTTCTATATATATTTTTTTATATAACATTTGGTTCTGCACTTCTCGCACGCATCATGTTTCTTTTTTTTTTTTTAGTTTTTCTCTTTAACGAGGGTTGCCTGGAAGAGATCGCTTATTAGCGATAAGGCCGCCCGTTGCATCCCTTATAATTTTTATGAATTGTATTTATTTGCAACGAAGTGTAAATAAATAAATAAAAATGAATATATATGTACAGACTATACAGCTTAGCGATCTGTTTAGGCTACACTCCATGTACTAATAAGTCCGGACACATCTAAGAACAGACGTTTTGTATTCCCAACGCCAAAATGAAGGACTGTGTTTGGCCAACGCTTTTTTGCATTAATGGGAGGGAGGGACTATCCATATATAAACTCAAAACACTTAAAACTTACTCTAGCCGAATTAAATTTCGATTCGACAGAGGCCTTACATATTTTGGCATGATTCTGGGTTCCATAAACTAACACAGACACAGCGTTCTGGGTTCCAAAACAACATATACACTCCCATTCACATAGTAATACATTTACGCATACTTAAGGTCTTATACTTTTGTTTGATCACATGTAACAGACTACTTTCTCTTTATAAAAAAGTTTTAAACATGCACGGAATAATTGGAATCTAGTTACACATTCCACAACACAGGGGAGCCAGGTGGGGTGGTATGGTGGGGACCAGGTATAGATGAATTTTGTCACAGCCATATTTCTGTCATTAATAAAGTTTTTATTATTAAAGATAACCGTGTTTCTTGGCTTTAGATTGACTTAAATATTGGTATTAAATAAAATAAAATGCTTGATACTAAATAAAAAAATAAATCAGTGGCTAAAAAGGTTGTACTTTTTAGGTCAGGGCCTCAGATTTCTGTATCTGTTTCATCATCATTTGTTAGTGTACGGCAAGTGATCAGCCTCCTGTGTGCCTGACACACGCCGTCGACTTTTTGGTTCTAAGGCAAACCGGTTTTTTCCTCCACCGTTCGAGCGCATGTTAAATGCGGACATGCAATGCAGAAAGTCCATTGGTGCACAGCCGGGAATCGAACCTATGACCTCAGGCATGAGAGTCGCACGCTGAACCCACTAGGCCAAAACGGCTCGGATGATATTAAAGAGAAGGAAATACTTACAGCGCTATCCAGCAAAGTCTTATTCATGCCTCTCACAGTATCTTCTGTCAATCGGGATATATTTCTAATGAAAGTCTTCAGATCAGTGCTAGCCTGAGCCGTGTACTCTGTGTAGAGGAGGAGCGCATCGGCCTTTGCGGACTGCAGCTCATCCAGAAGTTCAGGTGTATACCGCTTCTCAACTTCCAGGTTCTCCACTTCGGGAGCCACGTCGACGTATATTGATGCATGTGTCTGTGAAAACATATATTAAACCAGTTAACGATTTTTTAATATAAGGTTTTATGGGCTACAGCGAACTCAGAGTGCGCTGAGAATTAGCCCTTACTATATATCTGATAAAGTTGTTACGTGGAAAGGACAAGTATCTGGCAGTGCTTCTGTCCCTCAGGGTGCCTGATTTATTAATTTGAATTTATTCATATAGGTAACAAAATGTAGGTACATTTATGAACGTCAAAAAATAATATATATGAAATGCTTCTAATTTTACATTTACTGCCAGTTCTCAAATCAAGGGCGTAGAACTGAAGAGGACAAGAACTAGCAATTAACTCTATAAATACGTTAGGAGGCGATATCGACCGCCGTTTCTATTCGTACCATCAGCGAAAAGTAACCTCTCGAAAGAGCAACACATGACACAATGTAAATAATGAACGAACTGCATTGATTAACAGACATTTTTAATTGTCCGCTAAAATATATAGGTAGGTCTGCTTCATGTCAGTTCCTGATACCTTAAAAAAATTGTTTTGTATGTGATGTATATGTTAGCACATTGTAGTAATCTGTAATGGTAGCTTATTTTTTTTAAATAGATAAGTAAAGTATCCTTAGAGATATATTATAGAGCTTATGACACATTTTTAATGTTATAAACAGCTAACTAATTTAAAATTAAGTCCTAGGATCCAAATCGCCAGATTTTAATGTTTCTTTTAATAGGAATAGTGACGTTTTCATCGTGATGATATTCTATTAACGAAACGAAATTAAATTTCATTGTTTAAAGTTAAACTCAATTACGAGTGAAAGTTATTTCAGAAGTTTACTGTAACGACCATGAATACGTTACGAGTACGTCAGCATCTTAGAAATATAGTTTACGAGATAATTAAAATTAAACGCTTGGCGAAATATGTTGTTCAGACGCGCAAACTTATCCGTGATGAAAAGTAATAAACGGGAATGTTTATAATTTTTATTCTGACGTTATAGTCAGGGTCCTTCATTCATTGAAAATGGTTATAGAAAATTTATTAACCTAAGTCCTAACAGATAAAAAAGGATTTTCACTGCTTTAAATCTGTTAGCTAATCCACTATTTTGTAGTTAGGATAATTATTATTTAGGTAATAATTATCCTAACTACAAAATAGTTAGTTTGGAGTTAAACTAATGACCGTTTAACAGGCTTGATTAATAAAAACAAGAAACCAATTCCTTTGCTGTATGCAGGTCGCAAAGGATGCGATTAAACGGAACAAATGTAGGTACTTCCTATGTGAAAGAGGCTGAGAAAACCAAAGTACCTAATGAATTCCAGAAAGGACATAATACTAATAAATAACATTATTGTAGAATATACATCGGAATACTCGGTCAGACAATATCGATGACCGCAACAATAAAAAAAATTGACACAAGAAAAGCAAAAGCTTGGAAGAGTTTTTAAAGAATTCATGAAAAATTTGAATACGAGGATGGTAATTAAAAGAAAACTTTTCAATGCTTGTGTACTACCTATACTAACATATGGATCTCCAAGTTGGGTGCCCATTATAGCGCAGCATACAAAGCTACAGGAGTTTCAAAGAGCTATGGAACGATGTATGATAGGGAAGAAAAGATCTTTAAGAACAACTTAGGTCGCAGATGATACAACGAAATAAACTTAAGTGGAAATGGGCAACATGACAAGAGGACCAGAAACTGGTGTCCAATGTACAATAAACGAAAAAGAAGAAGACAACGTAGAAGGTGGATAGACCAAGGAAACAGCTGACGCATGGCAGAGAGTGGCACAGTGCAGAGAGGAATGGTGGGATTTGGAGAAGGCCATTGCCAAAAAAAGGGCACACAGATACCTAATAGAATGAGATAGAAATATAAATGTGTTTAATTGTTAAAATATCTAAATAAAAGGCTATTATTATGTAAAAGAGGAGAGCCGACCAGTAGCTCCTCGGTGCTGGAGCGGAAGGTGCCATAGATGTTTCCATAAAAAAGTCCACCATCAACATCTTTTACTTATGTGAGAAGATGTGAGGAGCACGCAGAATATTCATTATACGTAAGTTATTGGTATATATTTTATATGAATAGGCTTTAATCCAGTAGTTTATTTAAAGCCGTGACTACACGGCTGCCTAGCCCGGAATGCAGCTCAGCTGGTTATCTATATTATGACGTGTCTGCGGTCGTCACTCAGTCTAGTATATCATCATGTTACTCACATATTGTAATCATCTAATCATGCGTAAGATTCCCATCGGTGTATATCAAAGATTTAACACAAGTTTATATTATATTGTGTGCATAATCAATTTATCTAAACTAAATGAGTCAGTATCTAGTGATTTATTTTATAACGGCATACATATTTGAAAAAAATGTCTTCTAAGAAACCTGACAATCTCTTCGAAATTGCAAAGCTATACTTTGTATGTAAGAATAAAATTATAATTGCCATAGGTTAGTTACTAAACTCTGTTGGATTTTTCATCATGTCAGCTTATTTCCGAACGTTCATGACGTTTAAAAAAATTAACTATATAATTACATAGATAGAGCAATGTTGGCCTAGTGGCTTCGTTCTCGTTGGCTGAGTTCGTAGGTTCGAACTCCGGCTATGGACTTTCTATGTGCGCATTTAACATTCGCTCGAACGGTGAAGTAAAACATCGTGAGGAAACCGGCTTGCATTAGACCCAAAAAAGTCGACCGCGTGTGTCAGGCACAGGAGGCTGAACACCTACTTGACTATTAGATTGACAAATCGTGAAACAGATTCAGAAATCGGAGGCCCAGACTTAAAAAGGTTGTAGCACCACTGATTAATTTTATTTTATAATGACATAGATATTTGGAGTCTACTTAAAGTATTTTTTCAAGCAATGCATTACAGGAAGTAGTTAAAATACAAATATTTGAATGATGTCACAGAGGAAACATAAAATCTTGATATACAAGAAATATGCGATTACAGGTTTTGTTCGCAACATAGTATATTTTATTGCTTTATACAATTTATTTTGAGAATAATAGGAATTCCAATACTAATATTAAATTTACGTTTGATTCTAAAAATAAACGATAGCTTTATGAAAAAGTATTTCGGTTAAGTAAGATTTCCTTAGCAATCGTGATCAGCGAGATATCATATCCTCACTATAATAGTTCGCGTTTAATATTAATGGAGTTTATTTACATGTGAGGTGAACAAGCATATCTATGTGTGTAGAACATTCATTACGGAATTGTTTGGTTTTTCGTTATTTTATCACGGTTTCTAAATTATATATGTATTTAAAAAAGCTTGCCAACGCTCGGTACACCGATAAAAGAAAAATTAAATACAATATTTAATGTGACAAGCACTTATAGGCAAACATAACATACATGAAGAGATAGAAAAAATTTAATTATAAAAACTACAGGAAATTCGATTTAAAAGCGTGAGGGGAGCTATGGATATCCAGACCTAGCTAGTTTCTCAGAATGCTCAATCTGGATATCGGTGAGTTTTGGCCAAGATGAGTAGAAGAAGAGAGAGAAGGTTTGGCCTCTGAAAGGAGGGACAAATGCGATATTGGGATACCTGCCATATATGAAATCATTACGCTGTATGGTCAAAAGATGAACAGTCTACTATTCCTAACACGTGCCATCGTTTTTTGTAAGACATGCCGGTTTTCTTCATCATACAAACACCTGATATGTCTAGAAACATCTTTAAAAAGCCGGGAATCGACTGCACGACGTTAAGGTTTCTCATCACGTTTAATCATTAGGCTAACATCGCTCTAACAAAATAATCGTCATCAACGGTGTAAGGTCAAAGGGAGGTACTTGTTATCAAAATATAGATCAAGAGCGTGGAGATAACTTTGTTGATATAAGATACGTTTGAACAGCATCCCATAGGCTACGATATTATGAGACATTATCACTAACTTGTAGGTACCGAATATTGACTTTAATTTAGATTATTTAAACCTTCTTTAAAGGACATAAAGGCCAATCTAATACCTATATAATATTTAAAAATAAATTGATGGTTTGTCTCACTAAAGCTCAAGAATGGCTGGAGTGTTTTGGCTAATTTTGATCCCTACATATTTGTGGAAGTTCAGGGAAGGTTTCAATGGAAAACATAAATAATAGGTAAAGGAACATACTAAAACGACAATTGAATTTTTCAAAAGAGACTGTTCATAACTGGTAATTGTTTGATGTCTTTCCAGAAATAAAAAATTGTCACTTGATTGTCATATGTCTATGCCTTCAGAAATTTCTTTCATAGCTGTAGTATGAGATCCGATCTTTGGTCTGTTTTAAAAATGTTGTATTAAGTTCTGACACAAATATATTTAGGTGATACGATATCGTATCACCTAGTAATTTATAAAACTCGCGGCTTTGTGTGCTTTTTAGCATCGTGTAGGATCTTGTATTTTGGTAGTCTTTGACAAATGAAAGTCGTGCTTAGCCATACGTCTTTCAATTAGCTCATGAAGAGTTAACGGGAACTCAAGTCAAGATTTAGTTACCATAGATACAATCGGAAACTAAAAAAAGATTTACCATTCCCAGTACTTAAAATCGTGTTAATTACGCACATAGAAAGATTCTCAGTAAACCCTGGATGATCATTGCACATGAACTCCTAGTACCAACTAGATAATTACTTAACTTAGTAGATAAATTACTAGGCATTTGCATTTTAACCGCATGTATTAAATTCCTAACCGGCAAGTTAAATTATTTTTATTATACCGCTATCCCGCAAGGGGTCGGGACCTGCCGTCCGACCGCTACATCGGAGCATGATTTATGTGTGGAGAATTGCATATTTAATTATTATTGTTTTGATTTAGAACGTATACAAATTGCGAAATGTGAGAAATGTGTGCGATTTTTACAACGGGAAAGTAGACAAAAACTGTATTGGATGTTATTCTAAGAGAGTCTAAGATATTTCTAATAAAATATCTATATACACACAATGTTTTTTAGATAAATGAGCCCATTGATGCTATATAAGTAAAAGTATAACTGGTTTGATGCCTAGATGTTTAAAAAACGAATGGATGTAGTTAGAATGTTTTGAAGATCACCAGAAAGCTCCCATGTGTCACTTGCAACATTCCTGGCATCAATATCCACCACTTTATAAATCTCAGATCCCAAATCTCCGTCGACGGCAGCACTGACCCCGAAATAAAAAGGCGATCTGCATGGCTAAAGATGCCATTTCAAGTTAAACAACATCTGGGAGAAAAGAGGAATTGGCATCAAAACCAAAATCAGACCTGCCTTCCTGTATGGATTAGAAACGTGGACTGTCTTGGCTCGGGAAAGGCGAAGGATTGATGCCTTTGAGATGTGCTGCTGAAGGCGAATGGTAAGAATACTGTGGACGGCGAAGTGCACCAATACATCGATCCCAACCCAACCCT